ATAAGTTCAGAGTCTTGATAGATGATCAGATCTTTAATGTATCAGAGTCTCAATCTTGATTAGAGTCTTCATCAGAGTATGCAGTAGTATGTGCTAAGAGCGTGAATATTAATGATAAGAGTCTGATTGTCAAAGCCTCAACTTTTGTACACTTCTTTCATTAACGCTTCAGATCATTCTGTAGCTTCTGCTTCAGATCCTTCTGGAAGCGCTTCAAAATCTTCTGATAGTCTTGCATCTGATGCTTCAGAGCTTTGCATAGTTTCTTTGTACTTATGTATTTTGCTTCTTTAAGAGTATTTAATTTTATACCTGAAATAATAATACTTTGAACAAATTTTAGAGTGTATGTTTTCTTACTACAAAATTCCATAACAGTTATCATCAAAACATAGAGATATAAGAAACACCAATTTGTGTTCTAACAATCTCAACTCTTGGTTGGTATCCTTTAGTCGTTATCCCAACTCTTGGTTGGTATCTGACAATTTCGTTCCAACTTTTGGGTCAATGTTTTGTTCATCTTGGATTGTTATCCTGAGCGTGTCGCATCCTAACTTTTGGTTGGTATTCACTGTGTTGGATCCCTGCAGGTTGCAAATTTTCGGGTTCTTTTAGTATTCAATCTTCATGCACCTTGAATGTTTGAAAGTCGTTGCTATCATCCCTTCAAGTTCAAGTCGATTGAATAGGGACAGCTGTAGCACCCCAAAATTTGCCTCATCGTTTCTTGGTTTACTGGGTTTTGTTTCTCTGCATTTTTGCATTTCTGCATATTATAGCATTGGTTCTCAGGACATGGGATCAAGGTGTTTTCATGGCTCAGGGTTCCTTTTTGTTGCAAGAGTTTAAACAACGAGCTTCAGAGGCTCAAGCATTTATTTTGCCCAACGATCGAGGGGTTGATTTTATTTTTATTCAGCAGGTTACTTTCAGCTCAGGAGACGGTGTATAGGCTATCTCAAGCATCCTCACAATCATAATATCCAAGGGCAAGTTTCAGAGGCTTAACAGAGCTTAGAACAAGTGACAACAGATGATTAGGCAGGATTCCCTTCATTTGGCGCCAAATTTAGCATTTTTTGAATAGGGTAACCGGTTACTTCAGGCGAAATTTTCCATGAAATTTGAATTGTCAGCATGTGCAATTTTCCAATCATTCTCAACCATTTATTTCACTTGATCATCCTTGGAAGGATCTAGAATTGCTTCACTTTTCACCATTTCCCTCCAAATTTCAAACACTCCATTCCTAATTCCACTCCTAATTTCTATTCCAAATGTTAATCCACACTAGAAACCACATTTTGGTTCCTAACCTAAAGCTTATTTAAGTGGATTTGTTCCAAACCTCACACAAAAAAACCTTCATTTTCATACTTCACACTCATTCTTGAGAATTTTCTCTCAACTTTCTCTCCATTTTTTCACTCCCAAAACCTCCATTAAAGCTCTTTCCACTTGAACTCATTGATTCTTCATTGGAATCCTTGAATTCTATAGCTAAACCTCCATCATTCATCTCCATTATCACCATTCAATTTTCATTTGGTTTTTGATCTGAGTTTGGAAGCTAGATTGGAAGTGCTTTTTGAATCATTTTTTATTGATCTTGCTTGATCTTCATTTCCACTACAAGGAAGCTCTTGGATCTTGAAGAATATCTGGGCTTCTTGCTTGGATCTACTAATTTCAAGTGAATCAACACTCACCAAAGCAAATCTCAGTTTTGAAGGTTGGCAATTCTAGATCTAGTTCTGTTTTGATCTTATTTGAATAATCACAACGTAGATCCATGGTTCTGGCTGCTTCTTGATCCACTTTGATGATTTGGATCTTGGTGATTTGTGATTCCAGGGTTTGATTGTGTTTGCATGATGTTTGATCATTGTTTCTTGAAGATAATTTCGTGCTTGATTGGTATCATGTTCATGTGAGTGATTGGATAAGCTGTTGGATGCTGAAAACTGATTTTAAAAGCTGTTTTTCTGGTTCTGGTTCAGTGGTAACCAGTTACCTTATATAGGGTAACCAGTTACTAAGTGCAAATTTCATGTTTTCAGTTGTTTTTCAATAGAGTAACCGGTTACCTTATATTAGTAACTGGTTACCACTGAGCAGAATGTTGTGTTTTTACATTTTTCTTGCTTGTTTGGACTCCTTTTCACATGTAAACTTCATGGATTGATATGATGCATTTATATGGATTGTTTTTGACATGTTTCATAATTCTTGAATGTTTGATCTCGATTCTTCGACGCGTAACTTTTGGTTTTCGTTTGAATGCATAACATATTGATGTTGCTTGATTGATGAGTGATCATTTGCTTTGCTTGCTTCTAGCATGATTAATTGATTATCATTGAACGTTTGTTGTTGGACATTGTGATGCATGATTGCATTTGTTTCTGATTCCTCTTTGTTGCGTGTTCGTTTGATCGTTTGATTATTTGACCTAAAAAAACATGTTGATCTTGATGATTCTTGTTGATGCATTGTTGTTGATCGATTATGTTTGATTGTCAAAGCATGTTCATACTTGTGTGATGTCTATCCATAATTGTTGGTTGCATTTGATTAATTACATTCAAACATGCTTGTTGCCCTGCCTTCCACAGTTGTTCTCTTTCTGAACTTTGCATGTTGTCTTTGCCTTGCTTGCTGCCTGCATTTTGCCCCTGCTTTTGTGCTGAAATGTGTGCTGTTATAGACTGTCTTGCTTGTATGCTAGATTTTATTGTTGTAGCTGTTGTTTTAGCCTTGTTTCTTGTTTTTGTTTTCCTTTGCATGCTCCCTTAGGGTTCTTATTCCAATTTAATTTCCGATTAAATTTGGAGTAAGATAGAAATTAGGAGTTTAATTCATGCATGATAACAAGTTGGCTAGTCCCTTTTAACCTCAACCTTAGGTCCATCTCTTGCATGCTAACATTAGGATAGAATTTCCTTTCGCATCCCGACCTTAGGACCACTTTGCATGACAACGTTAGGGTCGAGTTTCCCTTAGACCTTCCGTGCATCTCTCTTCTCATCTCAAAACACCTTCTAACTCATCTAATAAATGTGATGAATGGTGTATGCTAAGAGTGTTTAGTGTACGTCTTGTATAGGGCTGATATGCGACGCATTCATTCCTATATCATAGTCTTTAGTGCAACGTGAATCCCAAACAAATTCAAATCACTTCACTAAAACTTACAAACAAAAGTCAAACCTTTTATCCTTCGGGATCGTTGTTCTTCAAAGTCATTTTCAGAAAAGGGTATTGTTACTTTTCCGTTCTACCGCAAACATGCATCGACCCTAACTGCTGGAATGGGAACTTAACGTTACTCATAAGAAATACTTAACCAACCTATGGTTTTGTTTTCCCGAACTACGTTTTCTCTGATTTCTCATACCAGATGAGAATACGTAGGCACAAGACGACGATGTCTTGGCGAGCAACCTTCCCCCTTCACCCGTAGTTTTCCAAACTACGTTGACTCTGACTTTCCCATTGCACGAGGGAATACGTAGGCATAGGGCGGTGATGTCCTATCGAGTATTTTTCTTTTTCTTTTGTTCTCGTTTCCGTTTAGCCGTAGCTTTTAGATAAACACACCCTTTGATTAGACAACAATCATGGATCCCGTTGAGTACAACGGACGTGAGGGATGCTAATACCTTTCCCTTGCGTAACCGACTCCCGAACCCAAGATTTGGTTGCGATGACCTTGTGTTTTCCCGCTCTTCGGGTTTTCTTTGATCGTTTCCTTTTCCTCTCTTTGGGATAAATAACGTTTGATGGTGACTCTTCTGTTTTTCCGCTGGGTGTTTTTCACAGTTGCGACAAGTAGGAGAGACGTTAGGCTTTCAATCCTTTGCATGATAATAATTAGGATAGTCCCTCTTTGACCTCAACTCTAGGTCCATCATTTGTATGATAACATTAGGTAGACTTCTTTTTCATCCTAACTTTAGGACCATTTAGTATGATAACATTAGGGTTTTCAATTTCCCTTTAGTGTTTTCTTTTGTGTTTTCTCTTCTCATTTCAAACAACTCTAAGACACTTAATAAAGAATGATGAACATTGTGCGCCACGAGCCTTAAGTATATGGTAAATGATGAGTGGGGGTTTTTCCTCACTTGTCTAGAGTGTTTAGTGTATGCCCATTGGGCGATATGCGACACATTCGCTCATATATCATAGTCTTTAGTGCAGTGTGAATCCCAAACAAATTCAATTCACTTCTCTAAAACTCTTAAATCAAATTCAAACCTTTTTATCCTTCGGGATTGTGTTTCAAATTCGTTTTCAGAAAAGAGTGTGTTATTTTTTCGTTCTATCACAAACAGACATCGACCATAACTGCTGGTGTGGGAACTTAACATCGCTCATAAAAAACACTTAACCAACAAGTGGTCTAGTTTAGCTGAACTGCGTTTGCTCTGGTTTCTCATATCGGATGAGGATACATAGGCACAAGACGATGATGTCTTGGCGAGCAACCTTCCCCCATCACCCGTAGTTTTCCGGACTACATTGACTCTAACTTTCCCATTGCACGAGGGAATACATAGGCATAGGACGATGATGTCCTATCGAGTTTCCTTTTTTTCTTTTCCCTCTCCCGTTTAGCGGTAGCTTTTAGATAACACACCCTTTTGATTAGACAACAAGCGTGGATCCCGTTGATTACAACGGACGTAAGGGGTGCTCATACCTTCCCCTTGCGTAACCGACTCCCGAACCCAATATTTGGTTGTGATGGCCTCATCTTCTCCTTTCCTTTAGGTTTTCTTTGATTTTTTCCTTTCCCTCTCTTTGGGATAAATAACGTTCAGTGGCGACTCTTCTGTTTGTTTATGCCGGTCCTTTTCACAATTGCGACATGTTGTACTAACCAAATGCAAAACATTAACTACATCCTGAGATTATTATTGTAAAGCTTGACAAAGCATATTTTTGATCCCCGTAATTTTTTTCATCAAATGTAATATGAATATGGAATCAAATTACTTTAAATAATTGTAAGCACTATTAGCATCTCCACATGAAGCATTACTTAATCCTTCCTTTGCAAGTTTTCTTGAAACATGACAAGCTGCTTCATACATATTCATTAAGCTATAAATAGAAGAGAAATGTGACCCCCAACGACTATCCTCAACTGGCTTTAAAGTACCAATTTGATTTTCACCTTTACCAGTTACAATTTCACCAATCTCTAATAAGTGTTCATTTTCATCTAATTGAGAAGTTTGTAACTTGTTGTGGCGCTTTGTAGAAGAACAAACAACATTGACAATTAAAGTAAGCTTCTCAAAGAATTGATGCATTGGTTTAACTTCTCTTGATGCAGTAACCAAAGCAAGTTGCAATCGATGAGCAAAGCAATAAACATAATATGCATAAGGACAATCCTTCATAAAGAGTGCTTGTAAATCGTTCCATTCTCCTCTCATATTGCTAGCATCATCATACCCCTGACCATGAATGTTGGAGACATCAAGGTTATGCAGAGAAAGTATATCACAAACATTTTGCTTAAGAGTTAAAGATGTAGTGTCACTAATTAAAGAGAAAAAAAATACAAATTTTTGATAATATTATATAGGTATGAAATTAAAAATAGGTTATGAACAAAATTTTTATAGCTATCATTAAAAAAGTTTGATAATATTCTAAAATAGTTTGAACACAAATTCATATTACAACAATTAAATGTTGAGTTAAAGAAAATTAGTTTAATAACAGTAAGCTACATTAGCAATTTTATACAAGAGAGATGCTACAACAAATTAAAATAAGTGAATATTAATTTAATGGCAATAAGCTACAACAATTAAAATAAGTGAATAGCATTAGTAAGAACACTTCACAAGTAGTACATTATGCCAAACTATAGTGTTTTCTTTTCATAACAAATTGATTATGCAGTAGATTATTTTTTGTGAGAAAATTCAAAGAAATGAGATACTGCTGAAGGATTGAAAATGCAAGATGCACAACATATGCAATGCAAATGATATGCAAGATGCAAGATCCAGGATCACAGGATCACAGTTCAAACATTCTGAAGCTGGTAATTGTAACAGGTAGGTAACCACAGTTTCTGACAAACGAAACCTGACGGTTAAACCCTATACGGGAATGTCTAGATGTTCTACCCATAAACCCATTCACGAGATGGTTTCTATGTTTGGTTCCCATGATCAGAGACACTAATAATATCAGCCTCACGCAACAGGCTAGCTGTATTACGACGATAATGACGATAAGGTCTCTCCTGAGCGGAGTCCTCATGCTAGGCACACAGGGAGAGAATCCTTGGAGACTAACACTACACGACCACCAATATCAGAATTGGTGCTAAAAAGGGTTCCCAAAATCATGGACCCTTCATTAATCAAGTCATGTAACAGGCTAGCTGTGTTACAACAAGATCCACGAATAGGTCTCCTTTGGAGGAGCTTTCATGTTAGGCACACAAGGAGCGAGTCCTTGGGGACTAACACTACTCGACTACCAATTGTAAACTTTGTGTTCTCTCTGCTTTTACCAAAGCTCAGGTATAGCGCTTTACTCATGATATCATCCCAAGAACTAACGGGCAAACAAGATAACAAGCATAAAAATCCACAAGAGAACAAATACATAAACAAGAAGAAAAACAAATAAAAACAACACTCCTCACAAAACCCTAAGATATGCTTGACTCTCTCTTGCATGGAGCAAAGTCCCCAGCAGAGTCGTCAACTGTCACACCTCGAAAAATCAGAGACATTTCGGAGAAACGACCCTCGCACGAAAGGCGCATAAATGCGGTTCGGCAGAGTCACCACCGACCTTTATTTATCCTGAATAAACGGGAGAGGAAAATATTGAGAAAACCTCTTAAAAACGAAAGGAAAGGAACATGGCACTTGCAACCACGTTCCGGATTCGGGAGTCGGTTACGCAAGGGGGGAAGGTATTAGCACCCTTCACGTCCGTTGTACTCAACGGAAACCTCTTAGGGTATTTTGTGGTGAGCGTTGTCTAGGTTTGCTTGTTTTCTTCTCGACTTAGGAGATCGTTTGAAAATGGTTTAGTTTGAAAAGCCGAAAGATTGAGTAAATAATAACTCAAGGGGGTGCCTCGAGAATTATTCACTCGAAGATCCAAGGAATGCTAGATTCCAAGAACCTCCTTCTTTCGAAGTTTAATCGAGAAAATGAAAATGTTTTGAAATAATCTGAATTGAAAATAGGGTATGAAAATAATTTGTGGTATGAGAGGTGAGAATGCGAGATTGGATTTGAAAAGTATAGAAGAAATGATGATTATTTAGTAAATGAGATGTCGGCCTCACAACCAATTAATCTAGATATCATTTGGATGCTATATCCTAACAACATCTTTTCATTCGGAAAAATATTTGGATGAACAATTATTAATATGACAACATATTTTAAATGTGAAATACTCACTCTTATTTTAATGTATATCATGAAGATGAAAGTAACTATTTTATTTACATATAAAATAAATTAACTTTAATTTAAAATGATATTTTTCATTATGTTTGATTTATAATTTTGTTAAGATTTCTTAGAACTTTTACAATAACATTATATTTTTGGTATTATTTTGATAATATTGTTTGTCAAAACCAATGTTTTTCCACTTTCAAAAAAATATAAATAAATCAAGGTTTAATATATTTATATATTTTATTTCAAAATCAAAGTATATTTCAAAATTAATATATATATTAATTTTTTTTATTTCAAAATCAAAGTTTTTCCACTTTCAAGAAAGTTTATTTTAAAAATTATGAGAAAGTATATTGCCGATCAAAAGATCCCTACAATCAAAGTGATTAAACGTACTAGCAGACAAAAAAGATTCAACAATTAATCTCTATTACAATTTTTGTTTTATTTTCTATTACTACTAGCTCTCATAATGATAATGTCAATCATGTTATTTCTTTAGAGCGAGTCACATCTATTTCTGAAAAATAGTCTTCTTACAAATTATCTAAATTGCATAAATAATCTCATCTATAGGAATTTTCATGATTTTGTTTTTGCTACATTTTTCACCTGTCATTTAGAAAATTCAATGTAATTATAAAATCCAACCCTCAAATTATGTAACACGTTAATCAAATTGAGAATATCGGACCAAACTCTTTTAGTGATAACACACTAAAAGAAGAGGTGGTTACAATTCTCCTGTAAGCCACAAAACACACACTTACAAAGATGATATTAAAACGATGAAGATGGTCTTTGGTGGATAATCTATCTAAGCATGACAACCAAATGATGAACTTAGCTCTTTGTCTAGTAAGATTTCCATATAAGATTTTTCTCAAAATCACTATAGGTTTTATCCCAATCATAATCTGATAAACCGTTCTCATAAGGTACTTTTCTATCCAATGTTTGAACATTTTGAGAATCCAAGAACAATGAATATTAGGACAGAGGATCGTAGTATACTTTTAACATAGAAGTATTATATTTTATACATGAAAATTTACTATTTATTTTATATTTAATCATTATAAATATATAAAAAAAATTTCCTGTTAAAAACTATGGAGAATAGTTTTTAAAACTCATTATTGTCATGTTATTTTATTATTAAATGTATTATAATTAATAAATACTACAATTAAATAAGAACATTACAGTGAAAAATTGTAAATTTTTTCACACCAAAAATATATAGTAACTATAGTAATGGCATTTTAAATAACAATTATAATAATAATTATTCAATTTATTTTTATTATAATTTTTAAGAACCAAGTTCTAGAATATTTTAAGATACAATTGAAGATGCTGTTTATTTTATTTTAAAAACACCCAAATGTCTATTCACAACAGCACATACCCCCATCTATACAGTATCCACGATTATGATGAGCTCTTTCAATACAAAGCTTGTCACACCGATCTGACATAGTTGGACATAATGACGACGAAAAGCATACTTGTGATCCTTCTGCAAGAATCATTAAAATTCATTATAAACAAAATATAATGGTGAGAACTTCTAATAATCAAAATAAACTAAAAACCTATCTGATTTAATGTGCACTATAATATATAACAATATAATAAAATAATATAATTGAGATAATAATCTAGATTATCACCAGCAACTATCACCGAAGCAATGCAAATGATAAAAAAGATTAACAACAAATGTTTGCATAATGCCATTTTGTTTTAAGGTTGACATTATCATAGGGCCAATAGACTATTTATAATGTGTTTGATAGTTGCTTTAGAATAATGTGAATAAAAGGACAAAACAATATTAAGAAATAAATTTCAAATATTTTAACTTTCAAGTGCATCTCATATTTATTTTATATATATTTTAAAAATACAATATTGATTAAATAACTTTTTCAAACGTTATATCCTTATTTGAAAAATTACAAAAATATTATTTATACAAAAGTGATATTTTGACATTAATTTATAAATTAAACTCCATTTAAATTTGTAGTTTTAATACAAGGCATTCTATTAAATGTCCAATTTTGTTTTCAAATAAAGTATCTTTTATTGAAAATTTCATTATGAATATCAAAAACCATAATGAATATCAAATATTTTATGTTTCAAAATCAGTGCATTTTTCACTTACATTTTTCTTTATTTACCTATGGTGAATATCACTTTTAGTATAAAATTCTATAAAACAATATTGAATAATTTTTTTAAAAAAATATCAAATCCTTATTCAGAAGATTAAAATAGGTTATCAATACAAAGATTATATTTTGACATAAACTTTAAGTTAAACAACACCTAAATTTATAATTTAAATTGAACGTATTATTTTAAATGTTCACTTTGTGTTCAAATAAGATCTCTTTTTATTAATAATATCAATATGACCATTATTTTTTTCTGAACTCTTGATGAATAAAAAAACATATAATTTTTTTCTTTTATTTTCAAAAAATTACATTTATTAGATCCTAAAACTCATACTCAAAAAAGTATTTTTTTTAATAGTCTTAAAATGTAACCTATATTATTAATTTAAATTATTATGAAGACGGTGTCTTTGATATCAAATGGTACAAAATCAACAATTAAATATTATAGAGTGCTCTGACCAGATTGAGTTTATTAATCTGAGATATACGTATCGTATTAATATTTCTCAATCTTCTGTGTCAGACTCATTGCTCTTCGTTAACAGACAGAAGACATTTTACATTCTGAACCTTAAGTTCTGAAAGATTGATTTTATAAATGTTGTTCTTCCTTTTTCTATTAAAGAGGACTGAGCCATCTTTTTGACTGACAACTTTACAACATTTTTGATTGAAGATTATGTCATAACCATTGTCACTTAATTGACTTATGGACAATAGATTATGTGTTACTCCTTCAACAAGTAAAACATTAGAAATGGAAGGGAGGTTATCATTACCTATAGTTCCAGA